GGAGGCCCTGGGAGGAGGAGGCCCTGGGAGGAGGGGGAGGCCCTGGGTGGAGGGGGAGGCCCTGGGTGGACGAGGAGGCCCTGGAGGAGGGGGAGGCCCTGGGAGGGGGAGGCCCTGGGTGGAGGGGGAGGCCCTGGGAGGGGGAGGCCCTGGGTGGAGGGGGAGGCCCTGGAGGAGGCCCTGGGAGGAGGGGGAGGCCCTGGGTGGAGGAGGAGGCCCTGGGAGGAGGGGGAGGCCCTGGGTGGAGGAGGAGGCCCTGGGTGGAGGGGGAGGCCCTGAGAGGAGGAGGCCACCTTGGGAGGGGGAGGCCCTGGAGGAGGCGCTGCCCCTGTCCCGTTCCAGATAAGGTGCTTGCTAAGTGAATGCTTTGTTTTGAAAACGTTCTCAAATTCTTGACAGCTTCGTTGATCGCTAACATATTTTAAACGACTTGCTTCTTATGAAGTGCCAGAGACACCTGGCTCTTTAATTATATTTTAGAAGTAAAATTCAATTGTTGAAAGTCACTCTTTGGCCTCAGTTTGTTTCCGTTTGTACCTGTCTGGTCTTCTGTCTCTTGTACCCAGTTTCTTCTTTTAATGGTTTCTCCTGACCAATGATTTTATACAACCCAACTGCAGGGCAGTTTCTATTTGTGCTGGTTGGGAAGAAAGAAAGGCAGCTTCTTGGACCAGTGGTGGAGGGATTACCATGGCCTGAGTCCTTGGTGACTTTAGACCTAGGTCTGCCCCCTCCACCCTCACCCCTCCTCTGCCAGCAGCAGGGAGAAATGGCTCCAGGAGAGCCTCAGCTGCAGGTCCACCCAACAAAGCCAGCTTGGAGGAGCCCCGCAGCCCTGCTTTCTGTGTGCGTGTGTGTGTGTGTGTGTGTGTGTGTGTGTGTGTATAAAACATAATATGTAATTTACTATAATGTATAACAGACAGCAAGACAGTCAACAGTAAATTTGCCAAATGGTGTCTTACTACAAATTGAGGCCTTTGTTCCTTGGTCCTGGAAGTTGTGTGCATACAGTATGCTGTAGCTGCATCTTCTCTGGGTCTGGTTTTTGTCCCCATTACAGAGCAGGGTTGACATGGTCAATGGAGTGCTGACAATCCACGGAGTGAACCGATCCGATGCGGGGATGTACCAGTGTCTGGCTGAGAATGAATACGGAGCCATTCATGCCAGTGCCCAGCTGAAGATTCTAGGTATGTGATTTCCAAGCAGATCAATACGGGGGAAAATGGCTGCTGCTCTTCATGCTCCACTTCTCACAATACTGAAGTTTTATGATACAGTTCTAAAGACATACTTTATGACTTAATAAGAAATATTGTGTTGTGCTGTTTCTGTAAACTGTACAAGACTGTTTACTTTTGTCCTGTTGACCCACATCTATCTATTTATATGGTGTTCTAACTGTAGTTTTATTCTAAGATGGGTCATACAATATAGCTTTGATTTAGAATTAACAGTCAGGTTTTACAAAGCCAGGTACCAGTGGTTCGTGTTTGTAATTTTAGCTACATAGGATCACCATTTGAGGCCATCCCTGCCAGGAAAGTTGACAAGACCCTTTTTCAGCCCATAGTTGGGTATGATGACCTGCACCTTGTCTTCCTAAACTAGACAGGAGATGAGACTGGGAAAATCAGTGCTCAGTAAATACAAGATTCCATTTCATTTTCCCAGATATTTAAAAAAAATCAAAGATTATTTCTTTTGTTAACTATTACTTTTAACGCCTTGGAATTAAAAAGCCCATTTCATCCACACTCTGTGATTTTCTCAGGAACACTCCCAAGCCTTCTTACTCACTATATATACATTCAAGTTTATCTTTAATTCTATTCACCATAAGCAACCAAAGATGTTACCTGAATTATTCCCATAAGTCCCTTCTTTCTTCAATATCTTATGTCTGTCAATGAAATAGATGCTTTTAACATATATACCTTTTTAATAGTGTTGTTAATATTGGTTAATGTATCTTCTTAAGATTGTGTCACACATTCTGTTGGTATAGTATCAACATAAACTATTACTGAAATGCTCAGAGAATTGTTACATTGATATAAAGCAGTGCCCCAGATACCTTCACACAGAAGGATCTTAATGTCAGTGACTTAGATGAATAATTGCAAGAGCCTGAATAAAATTTTAAACTGAAATTACAATAATCCTGTTTCTTTTTAAAGTAACATGCAGTTTGTGGGACTTTTCCAATAAAACATGGATCAAATTAAGTAGGGTGGAAAGCCAGTGCTCTGGCTTGCCCTTGGAGTGTACCAACTCAGGAGATTAAAACCTGGAGGATTGTGGTTCAAAGTCAGCCTGGGCAGAAATGTCTAAGAGACTTCACCCCCCCAATTAGCCAGCAAAATGCCATATTGGAAGTGTGGTTCAGATGGTGGAGTAGCAGCCCTGAGAGAGATAGATGAAGGAAAGGTGAAGCCCCAAGGTAGGCCCCGGTATCAGTGTTAATGAAGCACCAGTACTGATTAAGGTGGGAAATGGAAGACACAGAATTGTCCTGGGCATTCCCTCCATCATCGCAAAGAACCACTGAGAGGACATCCTTAGAGGGCCCTTTGACCTTTCCCCCATGTTATCCATCAGAGCGGGTCCTTTGACCTCTCCAGGTCATCCATGAGTCTTTCACAAGCGGAGCTGGTGCCACCAGTAAGGCATGCTAGCTTCTGAAATGGCCTTTATCTGTGAACTCCACATTGGAAGACGCCATTATCTCCTGGCAGCCAGCAGGTATCTCATTGTAGTAATGAATCACGTACCCGTGCCATGGAGGTTTTTTCTGTGTGGTTTGATGACACTGGATAAAAGGGGCAGGAATTGTGGCGTGTCGCTCGCTGGGGAGGATGTCCCTGCCTCCAGTGAATGGGCCTTTCCTCCCGCACAGCCTCCCCTCCCACCTTTGCGCCAAGTCAGCTGAAGAGGACTGTCGTAGTCACCAGAGACCAGGAGGTGGTCCTGGAGTGCCGGCCCCAGGGCTCTCCGAAGCCGACCATCTCATGGCGGAAGGGAGACAGAGCGCTCAGAGAGAACAAAAGGTCAGAAGCCACTTTGTGTTCCGCCCTCCTCACAGCACCAGGCCCCTGAGGTCGGAGGGCTGCAGAGGCCACGAGCCCTACGACCCTGAGATACTTCCCCACCCCACCCGGTTGAAGTGGACTTTTGTTTGACGGGTGCGTTTTCAATGTAGATAGTGTGTGTGTGTGTTTGTGTGTGTGTGTGTAGTACAGATAGATGGTAGACTATACAGAGGTCAAACTCCCTTCCCTTCATTGGGTTTCCTGACTAAGAAAGAATTGCACTGGGTTTTGAAGAAAGCAAGAAATGTAATTGGCCAGTGGGTTTTGGTTTGCATTTTGTCCTTCGTACTGGAGTCCCCGGTGACCTGGGCCCTGATGCGGGTTGTGTTTTCGGTGGTTGGTAGCGTTAACATAGCACGAGCACATTCTGGGTCTGCTGGATAGTTCTTTGATGATGGGATTGGTGCTGGGTGAACTCCAGCCAGGCTTTGCCTTTCTATTTTCAATCTGGCCAACAAAAATAGCGCCGGCTGCTTGGATGGCCACGGGCAGCTGTGAGTTGGGCAGCAGCCCATGCTGCATGTGAGCGTCAGTCTGTGGCCGGCAGAGGCCAGGGTCGCACAGGAACGCAGGGAGGACGTGAGGACAGGCGCTCTCCGCGTCCGCTCCTGCCGCCGTCATCAGCGGCGGTGCACTTTGGTGACGGGTACTCGGCCTGGGAGGAAGGAGCATTGCACACGGTTCACTTTCTGTGAGCTACAAGTTAGGAGCTCAGATTGTGATGTTTTGTGGAGGTAAGTACTCCAATACGTAATCTCTAGGTCAACATTTAGGTTTGTTTAAACCTACCACTTGAAATCTTTCTTAAGGCCTTTGCTTCCCGTCAGCAGTGAGATGCACTGATTTAATTTGTTTGTCATGTGGAATGGTTTGTTTAATTATTGGATGTGCTCTACCCTGACGATCTGTGCTGTCCTCGTGAGGACTCTAGGCTCCAACCGTGTGTCCACCCTTCTCCATGTGAAACTGGAGTTGGGAGAACTGAATGAAATTCTGCATAGAAAATATACGGGCTGGTGTTGCTCATTCTCATCGCGAGAAGATGATAGTGATGGGGAAGACGGTGGTCATGATGACGGTGGAGATGATAGTGATGGGGAAGACGGTGGTCATGATGACGGTGGTCATGATGACGGTGTTCATGATGACGGTGTTCATGATGACGGTGTTCATGATGACGGTGGAGATGATAGTGATGGGGAAGATGGAAGACGGTGTTCATGATGACAGTGTTCATGATGATGGTGTTCATGATGACGGTGGTCATGATGACGGTGTTCATGATGATGGTGTTCATGATGACGGTGTTCATGATGACGGTGGTCATGATGACGGTGTTCATGATGACGGTGGTCATGATGACGGTGGAGATGATAGTGATGGGGAAGATGGTGTTCATGATGACAGTGTTCATGATGACGGTGGTCATGATGACGGTGGTCATGATGACGGTGTTCATGATGACGGTGTTCATGATGACGGTGGTCATGATGACGGTGTTCATGATGACGGTGGTCATGATGACGGTGTTCATGATGACGGTGGTCATGATGACGGTGGTCATGATGACGGTGGTCATGATGACGGTGGTCATGATGGTGGTGGTGGTAGCAGCGGCGGACATAATGACTGCTGTTTCAAACTTTGACCCTTGAGCTCTAGCCTCCATTTTTCATGGCAAAGTCATTAAGATTAAGTGATTAAGAAAAGAATGTGCAAGGGCCAGTCTGGGAGGACTGTTACTTGGGTGGAGGGTGTGAATTGGCTCTTGGTTCCTGGGAGTCCCTGAGCCTCTGTTTCCTGTCCTCCCCTTCCCTCCGCCCTGGCTCCCTGTCCCGGGGTGGGTTCCTCCCCTCAGGCTGGGTCTTTCCATCTCCCCTCCTCGGCGTGGTGAGTGCATTCAGTGCCTGAGGACTAACGGGGAGGCAGTGAAGCCTCTGGAGACGTCCCTCCGCTTGGCAGTGCCCAGACCTGGCCGGGGTGCGTGCGAGGATCGCAGCGCACGGTCACTTAGCCTCCTACGAACGCTGGAACTTGTCCGGGCGCCGGGGTTCGGAGCTCCAAGCTCTGGGGACTCCCACCCACAGCCTCATTCCTGGGCTCTGCTCATCACTCTCCAGCTCATTATTTCCATTACTTGGCCATTAACTTCTGTTCAAATATAATCATCCCGAAGCCCTCCAGCAGTGCACACACATTAAGTCTTCACCATCGCATGCTCGACTTCTGTACTTTCTGAGGGCAGTCTTGGCTGAAAGGAAGAATGAGGAGATCCGGGCAGGGAGCAGCCTACTATATTTTGTTCAGGACCCGCCTGGTGCATTCTGCTTCCTTTCTGTCAGCCCTGTGAGCCATCACTGAACATCTCCAAATATGCCACGTGTGTTTCAAAGATACTTTGAATTTTTGACTTTCAAAAGTACTTCAAGCATCAGTTTTCATATCTAGGTAGAGATGGAAAAAGGAAGCATAACTCACTGGGTGATTAGGAAATCCAGCCCCACAGAATTATCAGTTACCTGTAGAAGAATAATATGCAAGAATGCTCTTCCTTTTACGAGTCTGTAATCTAAGCACAGACTTGTCCAAAATTCCCTGCACTATGTCCCTGCTCACCAGAGGAGCTCAGAATCGCAGACTTTTCCGCCCCTTTAATGCGCTGACTTCCAGTGGGAATCCTGTTGTGTTTATTAGGCAGCGGTGATCAAGCTCACATACTGACTCCCAGACAAACAGAAAAACGTATTCTTCATAACAGCCCTACGAGACCATCACTGGGGAAGCTGCCTGCACTGGTCGGGAAGAGGGATTCACGGGTGTGATTAGGACTGGTGTCCTGCCTGGCCCCCAGCTCCAGCGGCGTCCGCTAACGAGAACGAGCAGGCTGCGCGGCTCTGTCCGCCTGATAGCGTCTTTTACATATTAGGAACATAAAACAGCACAGACGCTGGAGGTCGCGGATTGGGTTAGTGTCTAAGCAGTGGTCTAACGAGCACTCCTATGTCAAGAGCACATCGTTTAACTTCCTTTGTGTTTCCGAAAGCAATGAGGTGGTTAGAATGGCTTTTTTCACCTGCGGGGCAGGGGCGGGAGGGGGGGAGGGGGGTGCCTCCTGAGCACTGACAATCCTGAGCCGCTCACACAGCCCCACGTTCCCCCAGACGTGGAATGTTGGGGCCACAGGAATGGGGACAAAGTGGCCTCACACTTCCCATCGCCAGGCTCATGCTCAGTGAAAGGCAGCCACCTTCCTCAACTTCCCTTTGAAATGCAAGTAAACATGCATGCAAAAATAGGACAGTCACACACGGGATATTAGCTCTCTGTGCGAACTTTCAACCTGTCGCAGAAACTGTCCTTAGGTAGAGACTGTAATTAAGAAAGAACCAGGGCTCATTCAAGTGTGTACCTCTGATACGTCAAGAAACTTGGTTTCCCCAGCACGTGCCTGGGGCGCCTCGCTCCAGGGAAGCTGTGGATGAGGCAGGGAGATGCGATTAGACCCCTACCGGACATGGGACCCACCCTCCCCACGCGCAGCCCACAGAAGGAAGAGTCCACTGCCCCAGCCAGTCAGCGCCGAGTCGGGCCGCCGCTAGGGTCTTCACAAGTTAGGCGTCTCCTGCAATTCCCACTAACAACAGATGACAGGCTGTGCTGCTGCTGCTTTATATTGTAACTTATTTTTAGGGGCTGGAGGCATGGTTAGCTGTGTAGCACCAGCCTAGTCGGGCACAAATCCCTGAGTTGAAACTGCTGGACACAACACAGAAAATTTACTTCTTACAGGTTACCATGTGGCATTCTGATCATGTATCCGCCTTGTAAATGTCCCTGCAGACACTCACCAGGTATTTATACTGAGCACACAATCATTTCCTCTAGCTGTTGTAAATATGTGACACCTTCTCATTCTCTGAAGTCTCTGCAGATCTCGCTGCCAGCCTCTAGAGCCTTCGTCCACCCCACAGCTTTTTGGACTCAGGGCCTCACACTTGCTAGGAAGGTGTTCTACCACCTGGTGCAATCTCCCATTCCCTTTTACACTGCCTATTTTTGACATAAGGTCTTGTTTTCTGCCTGGACTGCAGCTCTCCTGCTTGTACTTCCCCAGGGGCTGAGAGGCCGGAAGTGGAGCCCGTTCCCAGCCTGGAGCCAGGCGCCAGAGCTGAGCTGGCTCACACCACCCTGTCCGCACAGGGCTCGAGACGAAGGCCCGGGAACCTTTGCTTGCTGAAGCTGGTCTCACACCACAGTCCCTCCCCAGCACCAGTGCAGTGGCTTGCTGTTTGTTTGGCTGATCTCACTGCCAGGTTGCTTCTTGTTTCTGATTTTCCTTAATTGTTACCTCTGCAGAGCAGGCTGCCACTCCAAAGGGAACAGCGACAACATCATAACTCTGGCTCTGTTGTTGCATGAGCGTCTCCACTTCGTGGCTTTATATCTCCAGCTAATTACCAGTTGAGCAAACAGTTCATAAATTCTACTTCTAACTACGGTTCATTTACCCAGTTGCTATAAATGGCTGCACCACTTCCCCGCCTCTGCCCCTTGCACGGGCACAACGGGACGGGAGCAAGCCATTAATTGCCTAAAGGCTTCTCTTTTCTAAAAGCCCCCCAGACTACAACTTCCAGCTTAATCTGTCCTTAGTACAAACAACATCTGAAATACTTGGGAACTCAAGCATCTAAGTACATGCCACTGACTGATCCCATCGCCTCCCCAAGCGGCTCTCGGAGAATATAAAATAGAGAAGAAAGACGATTTGGAGGATGTTGAGAAAAAAAGTATTTGACTGAGGAGGTTTCTAGCTCCTGCTGAGACTTACATAGTCACTTCTTCTCAGCCTTTGCATAAATCAAGGTCTGCTTTAACCAGGGTCGGTTCGTCATGGGAATTGGAGGAATGGTTACAAATTAGTGACTCGAAAACGCGGACTTGACTGGGGGAAAGAG